TGCAACCATGCACCTCGCACATTTTGTTAGTTAGTAAAACTTGAAACATTTATATACATTTATATGTAACCTAAAAATTTATGTTTTCTTAATACTTTTACTATTATTTTTCTTTGTATTTTTGAAGTAAAATTGATCGCCAATTCTTTTTAATTAAGATCCGGTTAAAAAATATTTATTAATATGTAGGGAACATGATTCTAATAACTTACCTATGATTTGCATTGCCAAAGTCCCACATCGATAGAAATTGAAAGCTAAAATACGTTTATAAAGTTTTACGCCTGACCCAATAGTAACTCTGGATTAGGGGAGATGTGATTGGGCCTTTGCTTCTTGCTGGGCTTAGGAAAGTCCTCGGGCCCTTACTGCAGAAATGCAGGCCCTGTAAAGGGTCTCTACGAGCTGGAACTATGTGTGGAGCCCGTAGTAATTGGCCAATTTCACAGTCATCCACATGGTCATCATGACCCCCCGAGTGGGGCTTATTCCCTCCTAATGCCTATTTTAATTTTTTATTTAAATTAACTTAGTTAAAAATAAAATTAATTTATATTTTATTAGGTTAAATTTAATTTATATTTAATTTATTTTTATATTATATTATATATATTTTTTACAATTTTATTTAAAAAATATTTTTTTTTAATTTTTTGCGGGAATCTGCGGGTACCTACGAGTTTTAAAATATCTGTGGGTATTTTCTAAGCGGGTAGCGAGTGGATTGTGGGACGAATATTTTTTTGCGGGTCGGGTTGCGGGTAGGCACTATCCTTATCCGACCCGACCTGTTGCCATCCTTATTTATATCATTATATGTATATCAGGTCGAATTGGTAAGTTTTGTTAAATTTAGCGTAAGAATGCAAACAATGTGAACCGAATTCACATTGGTTGCTTGTAAATTTTAACGTTTTTTTATATGTTGTCGTGGTGATATATAGGATGTCGTAATATTTTTATAAGATGTGAAGTTATAATAATAGTGTTTTTATAGGAAATTATAGTATTTTTATTTGAGGTTGTGATGTTTCTCTATAAAGTTGTTCTATTTGTTGTTGTGTTATTTTATATGATGTCATGTGGTATGAGTTGTGGTGGTGGATTGACATATTTGTTGTATAAACTTGGTTAATTGTTGGTCAAGTTATTATAAATGTTCTATGTGGTGTTTGATATGATTATCATGTTATTGTGATTAGGTGTTGAATTTTTGTAGTATTTATCGTGTTAATTAGATTATATTTTAAAGTTTATCATGAGATAAACATTGTCATGGGGATTGTTCATGAGAATGAGTTTTGGACATAAGACGTTACACATGTGTAGTGTATATTGAATACACTTTTGAGTTTGGTCATATTTATTGTGTGTGTATATGCACGAGGCAAGAGACTTGTTTTGAATACACATTAAATCATCCGTACTAAAATCTCAATAATCATTATCCAAATTAAGATGTTAACACACAATCATCCAGAATCATTTCATCATACATATATGATCCCTCAAAAATCAATTAATAGAATTTATCCCTAAATGTTTGACCCCTAATATAAAATTTATTAATATTAGGGTTACTACTCTGATGGTGTTTCATTCTTCACACTCAAGAATGGTTTGAACATTAACAGTATCCTAAGTCCTTCAACAACATTCAGGGCCAGGAACACTATATGGGTGCCTGTAGTTAAATGTAGAAAGTGAGTTTCTGTTGCATTGTCCAAAAATACTAAGCACAAATGAAAATGTTAGAGTAGACTTTGCTTCTATGGCATATTATGTTCTTGTTTTAGTTAAGGAAAAAAAAAGTGAAACAAAAATAACTAAGGATTTCATATTTAACATTTGGAATAATAAGCATACATGGAAGAAAAGAACCATTAACATGCTTTTGTGACCAAGATAATCTACATTGACCAAAATAAAAAATTAGAAATCTAGTAGATTTATCTATAGAAGTATGTAACTCAGAAAACATGAATTTCAGAAACCTAGAATCAATGGATGACAGAACCATGTCCCATACTTCTCCCTAACATGTTGCAATTCCTCCTGCAAAGAGATAAATGCACAACATATCAATAAAATGAAACATCTTCTATCAAAGCTCCAAAAATGAAAATTTTTATAACTTACAGTTGCATAGGTGGACATTGTGTTGCCTTCGTATTTCTCAACGCCATCCCAAAACTCCATAAATTTCAAAACAATAACTTCACTATCATATCTACATCAAACAAAGTCCAACATAAAAATAATGTTATTTAACATATCAATGAAACAATAAAATTTTTTATTTTCAGAAATAAACATTAAAAACTTACAAGTTTGGTTGGCTTGGAGTGTGCAAGTGTTGTACCTGCAAGTAGTTGACCTAGTTGTGCAAAACATTTGCTTGAAGTCCCCACTTATTTTGCCTTTGCTACCATTGCAATTTCTGCACCATGAGTTTTACAAAGAATGGTTCCTTGGACATGAAATTGTATATAAATGGCATAATAATTGCGTCGAAAGAACTAAACCAGTAAATGGTCAAAAAAATTAAAAAAGAATTTCATACTTTCCACCCAAAAATGCCATCAACCACTAAATCTTCTACACAACTACAACCCACACTAAACCATACCTTGAAAAATACCCAAAAAACACAACAACACATAAATGCCCTAATAAATTTAAACAAACTAAACCAACTTTTAATGAACAAAGAGAGTCCGACCACGCTTTAATGAACACCAACGCCTCTCGGTGGGTGGCACAGAGCAAGATGGGTGGGTAGGTAAACGTCGACGGCGGCACTCCGACAGACAAAGGACCGCGACACTCCGAGGAAGACGAACCACAATGACTGGGTGGGTGAGTAGACGTAAAAGGCGGTAGCTCAAAACACGCCTTTGTTGGTGGCGGTTCCAATCAAAGCTTCCAACGCCTCCGGTCACCGGAACAGACACCACTTCCTCACGCGGAACATCGGCGGACCACGCTTGTACCGACATGTTTCTGGGAAGAGGCAGGTTGGCTGGGTGGGAGGGAGCAAGATTCACTCTAGGGTTCGCTTTCTATCTCTAAGCTTGGGTTCTCTCTCACACCTTGCCTCATTAAAATTCTGAAGAGAGAAAATGAACCTTCTCACTTTCAAACCCTTCCCCCAATTCTCTTTCCACATCATTCTCATTTTTAAATAATTTTTTTCACGTGAACCACTCACATTTTGACACGTGGTTAGTATCAAAATGTTGTTAAATGTTAAAGTATCATTGTCCAATTTTTAAAGCTTATATATCTAGTTAAAATAACTTCTTAGAGTTTATAAATTAAACCACTACTTAAATATTGAAATTAGTTTTATTTTTAATTTAAAATTAAACAAAATACTTAGTTTAAAATTATAATTTTTTCAAAATTTGATCAAAAGGTGCCATGTTTATCTTATCTGATTTGACATTATTGCTTAAACAGTTTAGACTTTAAGATACAAACAACTCAAGTTTAATAACACATAATATAATGTTTTTGAAATAGGTTCAACAATTGAGAAGCAAAAGCACTCGTTTTGTCCTCAAATCAGGTCAATTATGAAAATGACATTCATTTTAAAGTGCACAATTCTTTTGTTTATACTTAATGGACATATAAGTCATGTTGACGCATTCATTGAGACTTAAGCCAAATATTTTGCACCTTTCATCATTTATTCTACACAGAACCCTGTATATACAAGATTTCCTAAATAATGACATCCAAATTTCGTGGGGACTACAACGCATACATCTAAACAATGATCATTCTCATCTTTAAATTTGATTATCAATAAATGTAACCAATACATTTCTTTGAACATTTCTAACAAAAAATATGTACATTTAGACCTCATCAATACATATTCAAAAAGTTGTAAACAAAACATCAATCACATTGCAAAAATCCATATTCAACAACATCTACGGAATGCCTAAATCTTGCAACACTTCATCCCTCCGCACATTGTCCACATACAAAATCTAATCACAAACATACTTCTTCCTAACCTGTTCTTGTTCCTCTTGAAAAGTGATAAATGCACAACATATCAATAAAATGCAACATCTTCTATCAAAGCTCCAAAAAATGAAAATTTTTATAACTTACAATTCTGTAGGTGGGCATTGTGTTGCAATCGTATTTCTCAACGCTATCCCACAACTCCATAAATTTCAAAACAATAACTCCACAATCATATCTACATCAAACAAAGTCCAACATAAAAATAATGTTATTTAACATATCAATGAAACAATAAAATTTTATATTTTCATAAATAAACATTAAAAACTTACAAGTATGGTTGGCTTGGAGTGTGCAAGTGTTGTACCTGCAACGTAGTTGACCTGGTTATGCAAAACCTTTGACTGAAGTCCCCACTTATTTTGTCTTTGCTACCACTGCAGTTTCTGCACCATGAATTTTACAAAGAATGGTTCATCGGACATGAAATTGTATATAAATGGCATAATAATTGTGTCAAAAGAACTAAACCAGTAAATGATCAAAAAATTAGAAAAGAACTAAAACACATCGAACAAGAACAAACGAATTCCCAAACGAATGCTCCAACAACGACGGAACGAAGAGAAAGCGTCCCATTCGGTGCTCGTTGCTTCCAAAGGTTCCAACGGCGGTGGATGTTCAGCCGGTGAACAACACTTGTCGACGAACTGGACCACTCAGATTTTGACACGTGTGCGCGTGTCTAAATGTTGTCAAAAATGGTTGTTCAAGTATCATTTTCCTAAATTAAACCACTACTTAAAATTAGTTTTATTTTTAATTTGTTTTATTTTTAATTTAAAATTAAACAAAATACTTAGTTTAAAATTATAGTTTTTTCAAAATTTGATCGAAATGTCTATCTTATCTGATTTGACATTATTGCATAAATAGTTTAGACTTTAAGATACAAACAACACAAGTTTAATACAACATGATATAATGTTTTTGAAATAGGTTCAACAATTGAGAAGCAAAAGCACTGGTTTTGTCCTCAAACCAGAAAATTGCATATCACCGGAAATCAAAAGGAAGCGACATCAGTTCTGAAATAGAAGAGACCAGATGGAGAACCATTGGGAAGAAGTGAAAGCTTGACAGGACTAGCAGCACCTTCTTCAACTGTTAGAAAACCAGTGTTTGATGTTATATCTGTCTTCACGTAACCAGGGCAAACACTGTTTATGCAGAATGAAGGATGTTTCTTAGCAAGGATTCTCGTGTACCCATTCATAGCAGCTTTCGACACAATATAGGCACCTAGATACCTTGGCCACCCTTTACTCTCTAATGAACCTTCTTTGTAATCACTTAGAAATTTCTTCACTATTTCATCCACTTTCTCTTCTGTCAGCTTTTCACCATCACACAACACTCCTCTTGCCCATGATTCTTTAGGGAAACTCTGAATTTTACATCAACAAGCAACAACACCTTCAGAAAATTAAAGGAAACAAGATGCAATAGTAAACTAATATCTGTTACAGGAAATTTTGTATAATGTTAAGAAGAGATGGATTGGCTATTTATCAGATCGATATAGACTTAACTAAGATTTTAAGTCAAGAAGAGGAGGTATTGTAAAACTTTAAACTTAACTTTACAAAATTAGTTTATAAGATAAGATTTACTCCGTTTCAACTATAAAATTAAGAATTTCAAAGTTCAATCTCCCGTTATCCTTTCCAGTCAGATTTCATGCAAAACCATTAAGAATTTATTGGCACAAGAAGCTATTATTGCCTACCTCTAATTGCCCGAGAGTGGATGATACATTCACAATTCTTGGAGAGTCAGATAATTGCAAGAGGGGCATAAGGGATTCTATAGTTATTTTAGCGCCATAGTAATTTATTTGCAAGCATTCTTCAGCTAGCTCGTATGTTTGAGTTATTGCCTTTGTTCCATCTTCTTCTGATACAGCCTGCAGAATATTCACAACACTCTATCAAGAAAGTTTTTCAAACCTCTAATAATGTCCCCTGATCCAATATAAAACATATCACAACCTTTCTAAGAGCTACATTTCTAATGTTCTATGACTTCAACATTGCAAAAAGGGGAAACTTCAACATTCTGAATACTATCAAGATAAGCATGATAATCTAAATTGAGAAATTAATCATTTCTGAAATGCCTAAGCTCCAGCCAGAATTGATAGAAGTTTTCACCATGGTATCAAGTTAAGAATAGGCTGTTTAATAGATAAATATTGTAGTTCAGAGAGCTTGAACAGTATAAAGTCTTCCATTAACTAGCATTTGGAAAAGGCCTAGACACTCACCCCGCGGCTAAGGATAACTGAAGGCAATAAACCAACGTCTTTGGTTACTGTTCCACCAATCCCTGCATTGTTAACCTGCATTGTACAATTTTCCTTAATGAAATATGCAAATATCTAAAATCACAGATTATGAGATTCCCTTTGAAGCAATCAAGAAAATTTATCACTACTCAATAACTAGATATGAAAGAAATCTTTCAAGTTGGTAAATCGAAACTGAATCATACTTAACACATAATGGAAGATGGAAAAGAGCATAACCTGATGCATAATGAAGACGGTTTACATCAAACAAAGAGCAAAATAAAACAATATCTCATACATTCTTAACATCCAGAACCTCAACTAACATTCTAACAACGAATAACAGCCGTAGCAACATGATTACACCGACATGCAAATGGAAAGAACTATAAAAAAGTAAATTTCATGTTCAGAATGATACAAAAAGAAGAACTAACTGCATACATTTCTTTGACAGACTTTCATTTACAACCAAACTAAAAGGGGAGATGAGAATCAAAGTTGAATTTTACCAGAATATCAAGTTTTCCAAACTTAGATTTGATGAAATCAGCCAGATTAGCTACACTGGTTGCATCAGCCACATCCAGCTGATGAAACATTACAAGGTGAGATAGAGCTGAGGCTTTTATTGTTTCCATTGCATGCAGACCCCTCTCTTCATTTCTTGCTGTGAGCACAACCTTGATCCCTGCTGAGGCTAACTGCTTAACTATCTCCAATCCGATTCCTTTGTTTGCACCTGTCACAACTGCATACCTGATAAACTCAAACCCACAAAGATCAAAAGGAATTCGCAAAATGTAAGATTTCAGTTCAACAACAAAATTGAAAGTTGAATAACAAAACTGAAAAACAACAAAGAATGCCAATGTTCTACCTTTCTGTTGCCTCTCCCATCTTCAGTTTTAACTTTCAAGTCTGTTGCTGCAAACCTGTTGAGCTTGTTAATGTCATATTCTTTTTATAATGAGAAAATTTTGACGGTAATAATGCCCCATCAATATGTCTGCAACTCTTGTTAAATATGAAAATGACAAATGCTGCATTTCCTTGTAATTTGTGTATCCTTGTATTAATGATTCTCTTTTTGTGTAAAGATGAAAATACAGAACAGAAGGTTGTGAAAAAGAAAAATTCTAAATTCAGAAGGTCTTTATTTTATTTTATTATTATAAATGAATGAATGAGTAATGAACACAGAATAAATCTAAGAACGATTAATACCAATTTTAGTTAAAAAAAAAGAAAGAGATAGTCTATGATTTATTTTGAGATAGAGAATTGTGAGGGCACTAAACAGAAAAGAAATGCAGCAAAAGATTAAGAAAAACTACCAAATTTTGATTCCTGACTTTCTACTCTTCTAAATTGATTGCCAGTTTTTATAGTATTTCTTAGTGCAAATTTGGCATGCCAATTTTCAAATTAAGGGAGCAGAATCTTATGATAATAATTGTTGAACTCAATTTTCAAAGTTATGGGGGAATATTGGAAAAAATGACTATGAAGATGAGTATGTCGATAACTAGAGGACTTTGTCCTCTTTTTTTGTTGACTTTTTCACTCATGATGCATGAATTACATAGAATAAAATCATATCAAAATGCTTATTTATACTAAATGCTTGTCATTTCAACTCATGTGATATTTAACTCTTCAACTTTTCAACTTATGTCGACAGTGCACACAGTAAGAAACTCCTACTGAATCATAATTATAATTGTAAATAGGTTAAAAATTATAATAAATTTAAATATTTTTAGTAGATTTTTTGGTTTATTAATTGTTTCAAATTTTAATATTTTTTAATAAAGTTTCTACTGTTTGACTTATTTTGTTAATTGAATGATGTGGTGATTATGGCATATTTTGTGATTAATATAAACAATGAAATGATAAATAACTTTTATTGTTATTATTAAAAATGCATTGACTAAGAAGATCTTCATGTTTTTATGATTTTCATGTTATAATGATCCATAGAAAATGTAACATCCCAAAATATAGTGATCACCATAATCAGAAGTAATTACATTAATCATTAAAACAGTGCAGTCTTTACAAAAAGATACGAGGTTCAAATCGTCGAACGTTTTAAAGTACAAATAGTAGTTTAGCCAGCGGTATTCCAAATTCTAAGACTAAACAAAAATACTAACGGCTACCACATGTCGAGCACTCTAGGGCTCGACCTTAACCCCTACTTCAACCGGATTGACATCTTCCGAAATTTCTTCTGCCAGCGCCTCTTCCAGCAGCTCACTTCCATCTGCTCCCATCCACATGGATGATCATCGCAAGGACAAGACGGACGTACAAAGACAATCGACAACACAAAGAAGAGAACACAGGGTAAGCTCATGTAATTTAATTCATACATTAAAGTATCAATTCAATCAAGTCAAACATACCAGAATGATTCAACATAAATAAATAAACAAATATCCAACAACTATTTCTAGACGGACCGTCCGGACTGTATGAATCTGTGTAGCTACAGGCGTCCTTGCACCCGAGTGATGTAGTAACTGTATTACACTCGACAGCTGCCACTCGAGGTTAGTCCGTTTCTTACGTCGCCCATGTTAACTTATGGACTAAGGACCTCCTGCCATTCCCACACATGAACTACTCTCCTCTACGTGAAGACGAGTGTCACGGAATATCAGGATGGACCAAGCCAGCATTAGCATGCCCACAGTCATACTTTACCAAAATTCCATATTCAACCATGAGTCGTTCCTCCCTGGAACGCTCGTCCAAAATTCACAACCGTTTATTCATCTCATATAATGTTCATCATTCATAATCTTTCACTTTTATTTTCATTTTTTTGTCTTTCAGTCCAAGTACATAAAATCACAAACGCCCAGCCCTCTTTATAACGAGGACAAACCGTGAGGAACGAGACCGAAGAACTTACCCCGTTCCAAAATAAAATAATACTGACTACCAGATAGATGAACGACCTGTATTAACACGGGTGCTCGACACTGTCGGTCGACACAGATGGACGATCTGTAATATCAAGGGTGCTCAACATTGTCGGTCGACACAGATGAAGGATCTGTATTACAGGGATGCTCGACACTGTCGGTCGATACAGATGGATGATCTGTATTACCAAGGGTTCTCGACACTGTTTGTCGACACAGATGAATGATCTGTATTACAAGGGTGCTCGACACTGTTTGTCGACACAGATGAATGATCTGTATTACAAGGGTGCTCGACACTGTTTGTCGACACAGATGAATGATCTGTATTACAAGGATTTTTCACGAAAAGAGTAAGAGCGCTTGGTGTAAGACCGAGCACTACCCAATACGATTACTATGTGTAAGATCGACACTGCTCATTATGAGCTCTAAGTGAAAGACCTACATAGCTCATGCTCGACCAGAATCCTTCCCAAATGAAAGTATTCCAATTCAAAGAAGTTTACTAGAACACCAAACGGTCGAGAACCGTTTAATGTCGGACATACGTTATCATAGGGAAGTTGATATTCAAGTTTCACTTACATTCACTCGCTTCTAAGCATGTATATTTCTTATTCACACGTATCACCCATATCATACATTTCAACCAACACATATCATATTCATTCAGTACAGCAACGTTCGATCAGGCATACTCAACCAGCATACATCTCATACATTCAGTTCATATCATGTTTACATACAACATACAAGTATAAATTAAATTACTAAGCTTCCCTTACCTGGATAGCAGTGTATTCCCGAAAAGCAAGGTTTTTGTTCGACCTCTAACAGCGTTCTACCCTCAGGTTTCGCTCAACAACTTTCACTTAATCTAAAACACCAGAAATCAGAAACAACTCAGACCTATAACCCATGCATGCAACTGAATCTTAGTTTGCATGTACTACAGAACAAACGTTCAGATCATCGTCCAGAGTCGAGTGACTTACCGGTTACAGAACTAGGATCTGTTTGGTTCGGATTGAAGCTCACGGTGCCAGGAACGTTCCTACGGTTCTGAAACGTGATCGGAGAAGAAGGTGATGAGTTACAGTAGAGAGAAGGTGAAGGTTTCTAGAGAGAAGTTGGAGAAAACGAAAGGTTGGGTTCTGAGGAAGAAGATGAATGGTGCAGGTGAGTGGAAGAGTTTTTCGAAAAATCACTTTTGTTTCTTCCAATTCCAGACGAACGAGCGTCTCGTTTTCGGACACCTGCACTCCCATTCTGACTTCAGAACCTTCCAACGTGACAAGTGGCATGCGTGCATGCAATGCAAAGTGGGTTTTAATTACCCGGAGCAGTGACGTGGCGTGTGTATTAATGGTGATGCGACAGAGATTATCATTGCTAATTATCTAGGGTCTCACAGAAAACAACACTAAAGTTTTGTCTTAATATTTGATTGACAAAGTACGAATTGATAACCAATTCAAGAGAATGTTACCCAAAAATTAGAAGAGTCTAGTTTTTTATGTTAAAAGTAAATAAACAAATAGCTCATTTTTCTTGTACACAAAATTTTAAAAATAAATAAAAAAATAAAAAGTGTCATGTCCTATCCCTTTTCTAATTAACATTAAGGATTTAATAAAAAATTATAAAAACAAAATAAAAAACTAAAAAGATAATATTATATATATGCACCTAAAATTAGAGCTGTCAAAACGGGTAACCTGGCCCGACCCGACCCGACCCGACCCACCATAGGTTGGTCACTTAGTGAGCCAACCCAACTCGACTTATTTATTAGCGAGCCAAAAAAATTCGAACCCGACCCGACCCACCACGGGTTGGTGGGTTAAACGGGTTGGCTCATTGGTTCACTTATTTAACTTTTTTTCACCCTCTTCTTTTTAGATTTTTATAATATTTTACTTTGATCGATTAAATTGAAATAGTAATAATTGGACTAATTGATATAAAAGAAAATGAAACAAAAGAAATATATTGTTATATATATTCTAAGCTATCAAGCATAAAATTTTGCCAATTTAGTTTAATGAGACATACACAACCGTTTGACCAAGAAACTACATATAATCGTTATATAGCACAAGATAAAACTGTCATGCTTCTAGATAGGTCTAAAAACAAGATAAAACAAATGATATATTCTTGAATTATCCAATCTATAATATTATCCATCTATTAAATTGGAGTCCTGAATAAATCCATAGTATTATGCTCTCTTGAAGCATTTATCTCCATCTATAATATTATCTAATCTATAATCTTATGGTTTTATTTGCACAGGGGAAACTTTTGGAAAGACAACAACACGAAAGACTCTATTACTAAGTAAAGGTTGTGCGTTTTGAATAATTAATTTAATTAATTTAATTTCAATAAAAAAATTAGATTTGAATAATTAATTTAATTAATTTGATTTAATTAAAAAAATAGGTGGGTTGGTGAACCAACCAGACCCACCACGAGTTCAACCCGTGTGAACTGGGTTCTTAGTTAGTCGGGTCAAAATTGACTCGCATAAAAAATTTTGCATTTTTTTTTCAACCCAATCTAGCTCAAACCCGTGGTGACCCGGATTGACTCATGGGTTTCAACCCATTTTGACGGCACTACCTAGAATGAATGCAAGAAAATATCCCAAATATATATATAAGTGTAAACTTATACATCAATCTACGTCAAACTTAATGAAACAACATTTGTTGCTCGAAATTTATCTCTCACAAAAAAAGAAAGAAATATCTTAGAAAAATGAGGAAAATAGTGGTCCTCGCAGAACCATTATTGAAAGTCATCTTATCTTGAAAGCAACATGAGAAGAACTAAGAAGCATATAAGCAAGTAATTCTAAAACTTTAGTATGAAACTATAAAGATTCAGCCATTGATACGAATATGTGCATGAATAAGAAGAAGAAGAACTGAAGAAACGTACCTTCTTTCCAAT